ATTGATTAGAGAAGAATGCAAATAAAAATTTATGGCCATAAAAAGGGGCCAAGCTATAACCACAAAGACATAGATTACACAGGGACATGCCAAGAGAAATTAGAGCTAAGTAAAGCGGCAATGTAGCCCAGCATATTGTTTTTTTCCCCCTACTTCCCTGCCTTCATTTTTTCTTAATCACTCCTTAACTCCCTGTCTTTGTACTGTGGCATGATGGGGTGATATGACATTTCTTTGTAGAGCCAGAAGGGCCCAGGACCAAATCTCAGCCCTTGACACATTCTAGCTATTTCATGCTGAGTGGCTAACTTACCTCCCTAAACCTCCACTTTCTCACAAAACAAGGATTAAATCAGGTCACACGTGTTATGTATCCAGTCCAGGATATGGCAAATCATAAGCATTCAACAAATGATAATGATGGTGATGAAAGTAATAGGTTAGAATGAGTACGGAAATCAAAAAGAAGAAAATGTATAATTCACCACAAAATGGGACTAAAGTTATCTGATGAAACTACTGAGTAAAATTTTAGTGTTCTTACAGTTTGATAAAGTAGTTGTTTCCTATTTTATCAACAAACACTAAAATCACTTGGAAGTGCTTAAATGACTTTCATATAAAAAAAGATTAAGTTTTTCTTCTTACCATAAGATAACTTTAAGTTCAAAATGAATTTTGCCATTAATTCATCTTCATTGAATATAAACCGCTCTTCTGTATTCTTCAAAAATGTTAACATCATAAAAGTCTATAAAAAAGGCTGTAAAATTGTTCCCACTTAAAGCAGATTAAAGGGACATGAAAACTAAATGTAATACCTGACCATGAACAGTCCCTGCCTTGGGAGAAAATGGTATAAAAGATCAACTAACAAATTTGGATATACAAATGTAAATTTATGAAGTTGATAACTGTTGTTATGAAAGAGATATCCCTATTCTTGGGAAATATATAATTATTTAGGGTTAAAGAGCCATGATATTTATAATTTACCCTCCAAAGGCTCGGATTAAAAAGTATAAATACACATCAAAACACATCTAGCAAATCAGAAGCTCTTGGGGTGTGGCCGAGCAACCTATTTTGACTATTTTGACAAGCCTCCCAAGTAAGTCTGATGTAGCTGTTTAAATCCACTTGTAGAAGTCCCCAGGTCTTCAAAAAAAAAAAATCTCATTTGCAGATTTTAAGAACCAAAACACTGCTTTATAATTTCAGAAGAGGTATTTCTCATTAGCCCTTTATAAAGTCACTGCTTCAAGTATTCTCCTAGCTCATCTGTGCCCACAGATATGAAATCACTCAAGATAAATATGCAATGGTCAAGAACACAGAGCAAAAGAGAGCTTTTTTTCTATTTTCTAAAAGTTATCACTATATTATTAACAGCTTCAGGATTTACATTTGTTTCCCGTAACAAAATCAGAAAATAAATAGTAGTGTGATTCAGTCTGGGGGCCATGAAGTCACTGACGTTACAACGTGGGCGAAGGATATCTGCGCCATGAGTAAAATAAGCTTTTCAAAAACATGATAGAACATAGATAAAAATCTGATAGTTGGGTGTCTCCCATGCAGTAACCAAGCAGGTCACTAACAAACAGGGTGTGGCTCAATGTTGAAATCCAGGGCCTCTTCTCTCGAAATGCATTTATGTATCAATAAAAATTTAGACCAAATATCAGATACAATATTAAGGAATACGCTTGCCGTATAGCTAACCAGTGCTGAAGAATATGCCTCCACTATAAAATGTTAATTAAATGGATCCGAGGCAAGTAAAGCAGATTATGTGGACTTCCTCAGACTCGCAACATTTCCTAAAAATTGTTCATCCCTTTAAAGTATTCGTTCTGAATACAGTCTCTCAGTCATGGCTCAAATTCTAATTCTAGGTCCACGTGAACAACTAAAAAGGAATTTTCCAATCTTTGATAGCTGTTAAAGTGCTTCAAAAAATAAATGGCTTCCTTCTTTCTTGCTTTCCCGCACAGCAAGGCAAAAGCTAAATCATAGGTACTTAAATCTTAGGTGCCATTTCTTAATATCATTTGTCCCATAAATATCTAGATAGCAAGACAGATTTAAATGTGACCAGTAACAACACAAACTAAATAGTGACATAAGACCCTCTTGTTTATAAAGTGTCATAGGCAGAATGAACATAGGATAATTGTAGATAATAAAAGGATGGCAGCAATTTTATATTTTAGAGTAATTCTCTAGGGGAAATTTAGCTAACCGAAGTCACAAGTACATTTGGTGACAACCAGCTCATGTTTTACCACTATAATTAAAATTATGCTAAAAAATAATACATAAACATTACTGACACCAATAATTCGCCTACAAACCATAATTTGCAAGGTAAATACTCTGGTCCACTCAGTGTGTGAAGACACTTGGAGAGGCAGCAGACTTAGATGTGTTAGCTGGACTTTATTGTCACAAGTATTCTGAAGAAGGATGAATCAAAAGGGAAATCACATTTGCCAGGACAATCACTTTAAGGACAGGCTTAGTTATACAACTGAAATACCAGAACACTAAAATTTAAATACATTTGGAAAAAAAGCAGAGACGTCTGTTCACCAACAAATACAAGTTTTAATTAAACAGTCTGTTTAGTTTAAACAAATGTAATGCTAGCTCTGATGAATATAAAATAAGGCTATATTAATTTTTTCTCTAGAAAAAGCTGTACAAAAAACCCTAAACAAATATTTTAAGGAAAAATATGTTTATACATATGGATGTAATAGTAATTTCAGCTCTCATAAAAGCCCCACAATGTTTACTTTCCTCAGTCATTAAAATTAACCGTGCCAGAATCATCCCCTAGGCACTGGGTATACGCTATTTTACAGCTGCATAAACCATAACTTCCTAAAACATGGGGAATAATTAGCAAATGGCTGGAACTATTAGGCAGAGAAAAGTAAGCACAATCTCATAGCCACGGAGAACCTGCTGGCAGACTTGCAGCATATCACAGTGCACAGAGAAATCAAGCACTAGACACATCCTCATTCTAAGTCATGTTCTCATTTCTTGACTTCTAGTGTGGTTCTACCAGTAAGCAGCTGAGGCAAGTTTCCCCTTCTGTTAAACGAGGGACATGAACCAGAGGATTTGAAAAGTGCCTTCCAAGTGTGAATCTAAGTAAGATTATGACTAAGGACCAAAAATTGCCAGCCATTCATCATCAAGTATGAGGAGTCTTCACTGACTCCCTTTCTGTGAGGAGAGTATGTAGGGAAGAGGAAAAGAAAAGTAAAAAGGTCTTTTGGCCCCAGGGTCAACCCCTAAGGGACTAGGGAGGGGTGAGCAGCGGTGGGGGGCGAGGGCGGGGGAATGTTAGCATGCAACTAAAGGATTACCTCGAGTAAGGAATTCTTCAGCCTGCTGGCAGGACTCTTAAGACAGGAGGCAAAAGGCCAAATACCTACTCAATAAATTCTGAACCCAAACCCCGGCTTTCTGTTAAAATGAATAACTAAAGAAAAAGTACTTGAGGTAAGAAAAAGGATTTGGTAAAAGGGTTCCAAAGGCAATTCACACAATATGCCAAGTATCATGCTTTATGCCTAGATGGATTACCTCCTTTAAACCCTCATACTAACCTGCCATTACCACCATTTAACAGATGAGGGCCTGAGAAGGTTAAGGTCACACAAACCATACATTTGCAAAGCCTGGACACAACTCCCTGTCTGCCTGACCTCTTGCTGCCTTCCATCTTTGGCTTTTATATCACAGATGGATAACCTTCTAAGAAACATTCTTCTTTCAAAGACAATTTGCTCTATTAGCTAACCAGAGAAAGGTCAGCCTCTAATAGTAAATTAGGATTCACATGCATTTCCTCACAAAAACATCATAAAGCAGAGGGTCTCAACCTTTTATCTCAAACACACCACAGGATACAGCTCCCAGCAGTAGAAGAGGTTTTTCTTGCAGAAATGATTTTCAGCTGGGGAGTGGATAACATGGCCTCAGTGAAGGACACATCAGAATTTGGGGAAAGGATTTTGGGTGGTGAGAGAGGGGACTAAAATGCCTCTCCAGTAATTCTCATATGTCCCTGAAACAGGAATAGTTTTTAAAGAAGATGATTAGATGCTATTAGATTACTCATACCACTCATGTGCTACATGATGGCTTAAATAGGATTTTTAGGATAGCTTAAGAATATAACCACGTTTAAAATAACGTTTCTGTGTGAGAAGACTCTACCAAGTCTCAAACAACAGACTTAAGTCATCCCCCTGTTTCCAACTTCAGGACTGTCCATACAAGTTGGGGTTGGGGGAAGTGAGCAACAGTTCACTGTGAAGGCCTGCAGGTTCTTCAGCTGAGGTTTGCAGAAGGGCTTCAGTGGGATCCAATGCCACCATGCAATTGTATGCCAACTTTGTGTACATGTGTATTCTTCTGGATTCTCTAAACAACCCATGGCACACGCATCTTCATTTAGGGACTGCAACTATTAATGGCATCACACACATGGCAGTGTAGACACAAAATGCCAATTTCTAAGTCATACTAAGTATAAGAAGTAAAATACATCCAGATTTCTGTCTCTAAAATCCATCTTTGTTCTCATCTAACCCTCTGCCATCCACATAAGTCTGATGCCAGAACCTGATTTGAATCTTGAGGAAAAAAATCGTACTGAGAACCTCAGTTTTCCATGCTGTATCTAACATATAAATATTTACATTTTTCTCAAATTGCTGAAATTTTCCAGAGTCCAATAATAGCATCATTTACTAATGTCACAGAATGCACTGTAATTACTGGGCACTTATCTTCCTACCTCCATCATTACCCACAAGCCACATACCAAATGCATGTGAAATGCTCTAGAATTTAAACTTTCAAGTTGATATTTAAAATGTGTGCTTAGAGCTGTACAACCCATTACTGCACAATGAATTAAAGTATTCTTTAATTCTGCAAAGCAATTCCAAGATATGAAATAAGTATAAACTGACCTTCATGAGATGCTGATTTATCCATTTCGTAAACGTTTTCTTTTGAACTTTGTCCCGTTCATCTGGAAGAGAAAAAAAAAAGATAAAAAATAAGATTGGTAAAGTCTATGAATAGGAGACTTTGTGATTATGCATATGAATCAAAATAAGGTAATCAAAAAGGACTGCCTAGTGCATTTGAATTTTCTTGGTAACGTTTTGCAATGTACAGCTACCTGTAAGGAAGTGTTGAGAGATATCTGTCAGACTGGTCTCTTCCCAGTGTCACATTGGCCAACATTATTCCATTAAACAAATGCCTTCTACATATTCTACTGCGTCATCCGGCCTCAGGTGAACCCTTGCACTGAACTTCCCAAAGCACCTTACTATATAGTGCATCACACTTGATCTTCACAACCATAAAAAGAAGGGTAGATAGTGTCATTCCCACCTTACCAAGAGGAAACCAAGACAGAGATGTTAAAAGACTCATCCACTATTATCCAGTGCTCAAAATTGTGATAAAAGGCAGGACTTACATTCAAATCCTTTGGTTTGAAGTAGACTCTGGTTTAATTACTAACCATCCTTATTCTCTCCTAGATTCCCTATATTAAAATGTCTAGTAAAAAAGGAAATGGCCCAACTAAATCGTTGCTTCAGGGACTGGTTACTATAGACATGGTGCAGAGCAGAGTGAGGGAAGGTTTCTTACGATTTAAGGAGAAATGTTCTCCTTAATGTTCTGGTTCATCAAATGAGTACTTCAAAAGAGAATCATAATATTCCAACCACATGATGACAATCATAATATTCCATCTAGAGCTGACTTTCAAAACGACACTACCTTTTCCCTCCCTGCCTCTAGGAGCAATCCCCTTTCCTGTTTCCGTCCTCCCTCCTTCTCCATCTAGCACAGCTCTTTCTCTTCTCTTTGGGGGCCACACCACAGTTTCATGCTCTCCATCCTTTCCCTGGGGGTGTCATGTCTCAACTCTCTTTATCTCTTTCCTCCTAATTCTTCATCCCTGAGCTCTCTTAGACTATTTTAATGGGACTAAAGTTTCTTTGAGCATGTTTGTCCTATTGATTAGAAGTATTTATGGACATTGTTAAGAGATCTGAGCTCAAGATGGAAGTACCGCAAGGCCCTGAACTCACCTCCTACAGAGACCAAATGTAGCCACATATGGGTCAATTCTCTCTTGAGACTGAGTAAAAGTCTAAAGAGAGCCTTCCCAAAACCCTACAGTCAGGAGGGATCTCACAAATACAGAGCATCTCCTTAAGGAGCAAGGGATTTTTGCCCAGATCAGGCACCCCAACCTCTGGGACCTGCAAGGGAGAGACAAGTCCTAAAAACATGTGGTTTTGAAAACGAACGGGGCCTACATCTAAGAGACACAAAAGGCTGTGGGGAATGGGAAGTCAGCTCCTCACTAGCTCATATACATACTCAACCCAGGACTGAATGCAAAAGCAATCGTTTAAAAGTGCCTAGACAAAATGAGGAGATTCATCAGCTAATCTTAAAGCATCTGCCAGAGGTACAGGGGTCCACAGGAATTTCTCCAGGAACGTAGGTGCTAGCAGGTGCCACTTCGTGCTCTTACTCCACTTCAGTAGCACCACTGGTAGGCACCATCTTAGCATTCCCGCTACCTTGCTGGCTGTAGCGAGCTCGCCCTGCCGCCATGCTCTCCCACAGCCAGAAGGCTTGCTCCAGCCCCAGGCTCCCCTGCACACCCACCACAGTCAGAAGGCCAGCCCTGGGCTCCTCTACAGCCCTACTGAAACCCTCAGACTCTCCCCAGCCCCAAGTTCCCCCATGGCCCCACTAAAGCCAGCAGATAAGCACAGTCCTCACCAGGTACAGCGGCTGGCTCTGGCAGCCAGGGGGAACTGCACTACTGGGCTCCACAGGACCAAAACAATCAGAGATTCTCGGAAGACTGCCACCCCAGGGCACAGCAAAGATGGCAGGCTATAGCAAACCCCAATCTTCCTTTGAAAATGGCCTATTTACTTGTCCAGGAGCATCAGCCCGAGGGACAGGCTCCAAGTTCACCATACATCTGAAGGGTCACAGAGGTGTCCCCAGGGAATAAAGGCTGGGGGAAGCCATCCTCGTGCTTCCCTCAGCCTTACTACAACTCCCAGGACCTCCCAGAGTTTTTCCTGGAGCCCTGATTTTTTCAACGGTCACCAAGAGGACACCTCCAATTTGCTTGGTCATTAGGCCAGCAGGGACTACAACACTGGTTGCTCAGGACTGTATATATTTGCACACTTTAAAAGCTTCTGCCTGAGGGTCTGGCTTCCAACCAGCCTAAAACTAAGTACTGAGTAAGATCCCTCTCTTTCAAACACTGACATGGTTTGGCACAACCTCAACAATTGGGACCCATCAAGACTAAATCAAGCTGCTTACACAATCAGAAAGCCAAAGGCTCAAGAGACAAGCAAGAGCTGGGCAGGGCTGGACAGTAAGCTTCACGGCCCACACAAGGCCACTCCTTTACGACTGGGATAGGTAGCTGATGTGCCTAATGCATAGAAATGAGCACACAGAGACAGACAAAATGAGGGAACAGAGAAATATGTTCCAATGGAAAGAATAAGATAAAACCTGAGGAAAAAACTTTGTATGGAGATAAGTAATTTACCGGATAAAGAGTTCAAAGTTATGGTCATGAACATGTTCACCAAACCCAGGAAAAGAACAGATGAACACAGTGAGAACTTTCACAAAGCAAAAGGAAATAGAAGAAAGTACTAAACAGAAGCCACAGAGCTGAAGAAAAAAATGACTAAAGGTGTTCAATAGCTTATTACAGGAAGCAGAAATACAGATTAGTGAACTGAAAGACAGGGAAACATTAAGTCACCCAAACACAACAGCAAGAAGAAGAAAGAATTTTCAAAGGTGAACACAGAGTAAGGGACCTATGAATAGATAATATGAAGTATTATAACATTCACATTACATGGGTTGGATCCCAGAAGAAGATACAGAGAAAAGGACAAAAAATTTATCTTAACATGTAATTGCTGAAAACTTCCCAACCCGGGGGAGGAAACAGACATCCAGGTCCAGTAAGTACAGAACGTTTCAAATAAGATAAACCCAAAGAGGTCCACATCAAGACAAATTGTAATTAAAACGTCAAAAGTTAAGATAAAGAGAGATCTTGCAACCAGCAAGAGAAAAACAGAATGTACCAGGAAATGCCATAAGACTATCAGCTGATTTTTCAGCAGAAACCGTGCAGGCCAGAAGGGAGTGGCATGGTATATTACAAGTGCTGAACAGAAAAAAAACTTCCAACCAAGAATATTCTACCCAGTAAGGCTATCATGCACATTGAAAGAGAGATAAAGAGTCCTCCAGACAAGCAAAAATCTAAAGGAATTCATCACCACTAACTCGAACGTACTAGAAATGTTAAAGGGACTTATTTTAAGCAGAAAAGTCACTAAATAGTAACAAGAAAATGTATGAAAGTTAAAATCTCACTGGGAAAGGGAAATATACAATAAATGTAGTAGACTGCTCATAAAGCTAGTAAAAGAAGGTTAAAAGACAAAAGTAGTAAAGTTAGCTAGAGCTACAATGATTATTTAAGCAATACACATACAAAATATATGGAAAACATGGCATCAAAACCACAAAAAGTGGGTAGGGGGAATAAAAAGGTAGTTTTTGGAATGCATTCAAACTTTAGTTGCTATCCACTTAAAAAAGACTGATATATATAGACTGTTATATGTGAACCTCATGGTAACCACAAAGCAAAAACCTTTAGTAGATATAAAAAAAGCAATCTAAACAGAACAGCAAAGAAAGTCAATAAACCACAAATGCAGCAAGCAAGAGGAGAAGAAAGGAACAGAGAGGAACTATAAAAACAGTTGGAAAATCATTAACAAAATGGCAGTAAGTACATACCTATCAATAATTACTTTAATGACAAATGTACTAAATGTTCTAATCAAAAGACATAGAGTATCTCAATGAATTAAAAAAATAAAGACTCATCTATGAATTGTTTACAAAAGACTCACCTCACCTCTAAGGACACACACAGACTGAAAATGAAGGACAGAAAAAGATATTCCATGCTAATGGGAACAAAAAGAAAGCTGGTGTAACTATAGTCATATCAGACAAAATAAACAGGCTTTAAAACAAAGATTGTATAAGATACAATGAAGTGCATTAGATAATGATAAAAGGGTCAACTCAATAAGAGGATGCAATGTTTGTAAAATGTATGTACCCAACATAGAAGCACCTAATATATAAAGCAAATATTAGCAGACCTAAGGGAGAAATTGACAGTAATACAATAATAGCAGGACACTTTAATACCACATTTATATCAATAGACAGATCATCCTGACAGAAAATCAGTAAGAAAACATGGTTCTTAAATGACACATTAGATGAGATGGACTTAATAGGTAGATACAGAACATTCTATCCAAAAGCAGTATAATACATATTCTTCTCAAGGGCACATGAAATGTTCTCCAGAGTGGATCACATGTTAGACCACAAAACAAGTCTCAGTAAATTTAAGAAGATTAAAATCCTGTTAAGCAAATTCTCTGTTCATAATGGTATGAAACTATAAATCAGTTACAAGAAGAAAACCAGAAAAATCACAAATGCATGGAAATCAAACAGCAAGCTACTGAACAACCACTGAAACAATTTCAACAACAGGCAACTGAAATCAAAGGGGAAATAAAAAAATACATCGAAACAAATGAAAATGGAAATATAACATTCCAAAATCTGTAGGACAGCAAAAGCAGTTCTAAGGGGTAAGATTACAGCATTACAGGTCTACTTCAAGAAACAAGGAAAATCTGACAACCTAATGTACACCTAAAGGAATTAGAAAAAGAAGAGCAAACAAAGCTGAAAGTTAGTAGAAGGAAGGAAATAATAAAGATTAGAGTGGACATATGGATCTTCCTCAACATATAGTGGGGTTACAGCCCAAAAACCCATCATAAATTGATAATGTCTTATGTTAAAAATGCACTTAATACATCTCACCTACCAAACATC